TTGCATACACGCCGCATATTTGTGAAAACCCACACCCACACGCCACAGAATAGGGCAATAAATGTTACAGAAAATGTGAATATTCCTGTTTTCATACTTTGCGTGCGTAGCCCCTCCGAATACCCAGTAACATGCCGGCCCTGCGACATAGTTCAGGGGTCTCATGCTACTGAGCTAGTTACCCGGGAGTGTTTGGTCATGCCATAGTCAAAATCGACACATATCCTCTTGAAGTTTTCCTATTAACTTCAAGTGATATTTACATGGAAAATGTCCTGTTATCAAACCAGTATAGACACTGAGATCTTTCTTTAATAATTCAAGAATTTGAAATGTTCGGAATTATGAACCGTTTCGATTGCCTAGCAATAGAGGTGGTGTTCCAATTGGTCTCCACTTTCATTTTTTTTTTCCATTTCTTGATCTCTATTTTAAGAGAACAAGCAGAAACTCAACAGAATGGTTTTGGTCCTATGGTACTGTGAAGCACAAACACAGTCGCGCAAAAGGCTATTATAGCGAGCGGCTGCTGTATCGATATCAAGGTCATTCAACACGTTCCAGTTGATCCGGGACAAGGAACGCCTCAACAAACGGAAATCGATCTTCCGGAAATTGAGCCGAGTGGCAGTCATGGCTTCATCAAAACGAATTTGAGATCCGCTCGCGATAGATATATCCAAAGCAGGGTGGAAATTGTCAAGAGGAATGATGACGTCAGGCGCTTCAGCGTCGACACAGTCCAGAAGTGCACTTCCGCTAACAAAAACCAAGTCAAGAAAACGAGACTGGAAATTGGGAACAAGGTTTATCTGGCTCAGTCCATGAAAAGCCGTGCCGTCAACAAGCATGCGGCTGGCAGGAGTAGTTGAAGATGCAATCGGATCTGGAAACGCATAACCCTGGCCTGAGGGCGACCAGATAAGCCCAGGCTGATTAAAATCACCAAGCAGAAGAAGCACATCCGTTATATTAGCCATGGACGATGCAAATTCTGTAGCATCCAGATGAAGCTGCATTGTGCTGCAGTCATGTCGACGTTCAGGGGGGATAAACACCGCTCCAATGAGGATGTTCCGCGAAGTGAGGCTGTCCTTAACCCAAACCGCTTCAATTGTAGTAAATAGTTCGTCGGCGATTACTTACTTAAGGGTCCTGTGCACCACCAGCGGTGCAAAGTGCCAACGTGAAAGACTTCCATCCTGGGCGGCTGCTCACTTTTGCCTTGACCTGGGCCCAGGTCAGATTCCTATCGACTTGCTTAATTTCCTTATTGAGGCTCCGCCGCCATGAGCCCCTGGGTCTGCCTCTGCTGCGATTTCCTGCCGGATTCCTATCCAGCGCTAGCTTGCAAATTTCGTTTCCGCCCCGTCGAAGTGTGTGGTCGACCCACCTCCACTTTCGCTCTCGAATTTCTGTTGCTATCGGCTTCTGATGACATCGACGATGGAGCTCGGCATTCGAGATCCAGTTGTGAGGCCACCAGGCACGAATTATATACCGCAGGCATCGGTTGATGAAGACCTGCAGCTTTTGAGTGTTCTCCGCTGATACACACCACGTCTCGCTGGCGTATAACAACACAGATTTCACGTTCGAGTTGAAAATTCGGATTTTGGTGCGTTGACTTATCTGGTTGGATCTCCATACGTTTCGTAAACTCGCAAAGGCAGCCCTAGCCTTCTTGATTCGTGCACCTATGTCGCTCTTGGTCCCGCCGTCCGACGCTATTTGGCTGCCAAGATATTGGAAACCTTCGACCTTCTCCACTGCTTGCCCCGCTACCGTAAAGTTGGGAGCGTTTCCTGTGTTGATATCCAACGATTTGGTCTTGTTAACGTTGATGCTGAGACCCACCGCAGATGAGCGTTCGGCTAGGTCATTGAGCTTACTCTGCATATCAGAGCGCCGTTGTGCTAGTAGAGCAACATCATCAGCCAAATCGAAGTCTTTGAGATGCTCCATGGTGATAGGCTGCCAAAGCAGCCCACGGTTCGGTACACGGGCAATTGCACCTACCATGATCTCGCCAATTACGATGAGAAACAGTAGCGGTGATAGTATACATCCTTGTCTCACACCAGCGACTACCCGGATAGGGTCGGACAAGGCTCCGTTATGCAGAACTCTGCACGTGAAAGCCTCATACTGCACTTCGATGAGGTTGACGATTTTATCCGGGACTTCCTTGCGTCTCAGGGCGCCCCACAGATTCTCGTGATTGAGACGGTCGAAAGCTTTTTCGTAGTCAATTAATACCAAATAAAGGGACTCTTAGAATTCATTGACCTGCTCCAGGATGATGCGGAGCGTGACAATATAGTCCACACAAGATCTTCCGGCACGGAATCCTACATGCTGCCGTCGGAGAGTCGCGTCGATCTTCTCCTGTATCCGATTCAGGATAACTTTGCACAGAACTTTGATAATGATGCCTCGCCAATTGTCGCACACAGTCAGATCCCCCTTCTTTGGGACCTTCACTAAGATGCCCTGCATCCAGTCAGCTGGAAAAGTCGCGGTGTCCCAGATATTACAGAATAGTTGATGCAACATTTCTGCGGATAGCATGGGGTCAGCTTTGAGCATCTCTGCTGATATGCGATCGTCCCCTGGAGCCTTGTTGGATTTCATGCTTCGGATAGCTGCTTCAATCTCCTGCAGTGATGGGGTCTCGGAATTGACGCTAGTGATGCGCCGCACCCTAGGCGGATCATGCCGAGATGTTGATGGCTGGTTGGCCGTCGAAACTTGAAGAAGTTGTTCGAAGTGCTCAAACCAGCGTAGAGGAGGCGTATATCGCCGGTGTTTGCGGCTTTCTCCCCTTCGTCGGCCAGGGAGTTCACCCACGCTCGCTTGTCCCGTCTGCAAGAGCGCTTGACTTCCTTCTCTAGAGCCGAGTACCGTTGACGGGCTTCGTTCTTGGCTCCTCTGGTTCTCACCCGCTCTATCGCGGCTTTTGCTTCTCTACGCTCCTCAATCTTCCGCCAGGTTTAATCTGTGATCTACTTTTTCCTCTGGGTGCGCAGCTCACCCAAGTTGTTCTTGCTTGTTTCTATAAAGGCATTCTTGATGGCCGTCCATTGTTCTTCTACAAAAGACCTTTTTACCGCTGGATCTTCAAGTCGGCGTGTGTTGAACCGCCGCCCGAGTCTCTCCTCCCGTCGCTGGATCCGCGCCATGCTTAGGCGGATTTCACCGATTAGAAGGTGATGGTCAGACGCGATGTCGGCGTTGCGTTTATTCCGGACATCAAGAAGGCTCCGTCTCCATTTTCGGCGGATGCAGATGTGGTCGATCTGATTTTCGGTATGTCCATCAAGGGAAACCCACGTGACTTTGTGCACTTGCCGATTACGCAGGAGGCGAATGCGTTGGAAACAGCGATGAGGACACCACCACCGCGAGTACGAATGCTGTTGGATGAATTACGGTCTAGTCTGTAGACAGTAAAAGAGTCACCAAACAGTTGCACTGAATTGATCCTCCCATCGAGCCAAGTTTCTGTGAATACATAAACGTCATATTCCCCGTCAAGCGCAGCCAGATAAACATTGTCCAATTTAGTCATGAGCCCCCTGGTGTTCTAAGCGAAGATGAACTAAAACTAAGCAGCGGATCAACAGTTGAATTCACATGGACGAGTTCATACTTACCGTAAACAAGTGGTTGGAAGACCCCTTCATCAGGCCCGCACACAGGGCCGGGAAGGCTGCAGGTCACTGGCGGGAATGGCTCGATTGTGGCGGGGGGCTCGGGGGCTTCCATGAGGCCAACGGCAGTGCGTCCCAGTAAACAAACAGAAGTTGATTCATCATAATGGAGTACGTCGTCAATCTTCGGCAGGACTTCTTCCAGTGAATTTTCTGTGGAGCGTCTCGGCTTCTGGTATACTGTTAATGTCATCTTTAGACCACAATTGTCGAGGAGATTTTTTTTTAAGACAGAGCAGTTGTTGCTTGCTGATTGTACTGTTGGGGTTTGGAAGACCCCCTCTCCTAACTCAAACGCAGGCCTGGGACGACTGTTGAAGGCTCGATTGCGATGATAGGATCAGGGGCCTCCTTAAGGTTAGTTGCAAGTGTGCGTCCGAGTGTCGAGTTGAATAAATAAAGCAGGTTGTGTTCGGCTGTAGGCATAATACATTTCAGGAAGTGGATTGTTCGAAATAATGTCGTACTTGCCTGAGATAGGGTTTTGGAAGACGCCTTCTTCAAATCCAAACACAGAACAGGGATGGCTGGAGGTCGCTGGCAGGAATAACTCGACTATGATGGATGAATTAGGGGCAGGCGTGCGTCCCGGTGTCCAACTTGGGTCAATCACGAAGGAGTTCATTGTTGAAGTTTGACTAGAAGTGATAATCGTTTCAGGGACGGAATTATTCAGAAAGCGATCATACTTGCCTGCGGTTGGATATTGGAAAAAAATTGATGTTCCGTTGTTTGTAAAACATATTCGACACACTGTTCTGAGCAAATTACCCTTGCTTAATGGTGTTAGTGAAATGTGCAAATATTTAGTGGTGTTCGTATTTCATTGCAATGTTTATCGTTTTACACGAAACAGCTGTTGGCAGTGACGTCAATCTTACTGTTCGCAGTATGGAATGTTGTGGTAGAGTGACGTCGTCTCTTGAGTGCTCAGCAATGTTTACAATATTTTTGCTTCTAATACTGTTGGCGCGGACCTTATATAAACGTCATTAAGCAGCAATGCGGTGGTTAGCATCCGTTTGAGAGTGGATTGCTTCCACAAGTTGCTTCTGTTGATGAAGCTGCTTCCTCACGTCGGCTTCCTTCCGCATAAGTGATAGTACGATCATCAAATTAATATTTTGTTATTTTAAACAGGGTCCATTTATCTGCGTGTTGCAAATTACAAGAAGAGATAATAAAGTATGTGCCTCAAGCATGTGAGGTGGGCTTGGATATGTATAGTATTAGGTGTTAGTTGATCTGAGCCTAACAATAAACACTTGCTTTTCTATATAATTTCAGATGGAAAAAGACCCACAAAGCTCAACAGTAAACATTCCGGATGACTATACGAGCGAAATAGGATCCGGCTCTCACGGTGAAGAATACCAAAGGGATGTTGCCCTTCTGATGCTTGTGCGGGCAACCCTAGCAAAGAGTGACTTCAAGATGGGCTACGAAATGTCTGCTGCTGGAAAGTTTGACGATGTTGCATTTTTTGACGAAAACAAAAAAGAATGGTTGCTGATTCAAACGAAACATGCTGATACGGTAAAAGGGCCACCAAAACCCATCGACTGGAATTCGTTACTTCCGGAGAACAAAAAGGAGCAAGACCGGTCAGATTTTTCGCTAATCAAGTATTGTAAATCGTATGTGGAAGTTCAAAACCAGATTGATGGTTGTAAAAAGTTTTATATTTTCACCAATAAACCATTGGTCAAAACAATCCTACACAATTTTCAAACATGCGAGGCTCATAAACTGTTACGTGTTGCAAAAAATGATGAAGCATTCCAACACGTACAGGTCAAACCAACTGACGACGTAGTGAATAAACTGCTCAAATATATCAATCAGGACTTTGAATCTCTGGTAGGAGCAATAGTGGAACTTTTCAACAGTGGAAAAGTAGATGCTGTGTTGAGCAAATACAAAACTCACCTAGCAAATGTGATCGTTGTAGAAAAACATGTTCTGAAGTTCCATCCAAGTTTCTCATCAAATGACCCTGATCCCAACATCAAATGCTTGTACGACTCACTACAGGTGAAGCAGATTATCGGCAAAGAGCGAGACAATATTAGCGGCGACAACAGGAAGCTCCTAATAGGAAAATCGAGGGAAAACATAAAATTTCCTCTGTTCGTAGGAAGAACACAAGTGGAGGAGTTCTTGCATAATATGGTGCTGTCTGTCGGACAACCGGATGATCTTCGTAGTATTATTGAAAACGAAATTCGGATTTGGATAAAATCATGGATACGACCAGATGGCTTCGGTAGACTGACTGAAACACAGGTGTCTCTTCCGGTAACGAGCATGAATAAGTTGTTTTGTGATTTTAACAGAATCTTCAGCCAGGATAAGAAGAAGTTTCTGAAACTCGTTGATGGAGAAGGCTTTTTCAAAACAATTGAAAACGAACTGAGACAACAATTAACGAATCCAGCAGGTCAAAGTTGGGACAAGTTTGAGCAGCGCTACGTAAACCGCCGAATGGTTTACACCGATCAGAAAGAAGCCCAGGAGAAAATAACCGATTGGGAATTGGTGCAACAAATGACGGCCGAATCCGTGAATCAACCATGTTTAATTTTCATCGCTGAGCCAGGCATGGGGAAGACAACACTTCTACAGTACATTTCGTTCCAAGTGCAACAGGAAGATAGACGTCATGTATTTCTAGTATATCTTAACAGGCTTCACAACCATCTGAAGGAAGTCAAAGAGGTAGTCAATTTTGATAAGGCCCTAAGTGTTTTTCGTGACGCGATTTCGGAAAGCAATCGTAATATTATCAAAAAAGCTGCTAGCAATAATGGTGGAACAAAGCAAAGTCAAATAGTGATATTTTGTGATGGATTTGACGAGGTTCATCCCAATCACACAAAGCAGATGATTCAGGTCATCCAACAACTGATGTCAGTAAAATGTATTAAAATAGTTATCAGTAGTAGGAAACATGCCAAACAATTGCTCGAACAAAGCTTCGCCGTCAAGTCCATGCATATCGATTCTTTCAGCATATTGGATCAAATATCGCTCTTTCTAAAATTAGCTTCCATTGAACAAACCCAACACAACCCTTTACTAGCATCTTTTTTCAAGAAAAATCAAGCAGTCATCAATCGCGACTCTGCCGGTTCACCGCTCATGATAAGGATGTTCGTTGAAGTATATTCCGAGCATATTCGAAACATACTGAAACGTAATTGCGATGAAAACGTAGACTTGCTGTTTCCTTCCAAACCTATTGACATTGTAGATTTATTTGAGAAATTTGTTAGAAAATCCTTCAATGCCAAAATGAACAAAAAGTACGGAGCCACAATCGATGAAGAACTCAGTGACGACGAAAATGACTACTTTTACGAAAAATTTATGTTGGAACATCAATCGTTGGCGCTAAAGCAGCTTGCTATTGCGGAAATGCTGGAATATTCGGAAACTTTAGAAGAAACGTACAAAACATTTACGACTCGAATTGATAAAGGTTCCGACAAGTCCCTCCTCATCGAAAAGGTTGATGACATGATCCGGTTTACTCATTTGTCGTTTGCAGAGTACTTCTTAGCCAAACTGCTGTATGACCGTGTTTCGGAATTTTCATCCAAATTGAGGACAATTTTTGAGCAAAATCCTGGAATGAAAAGATTCTTCTTCATAATGGTGGAAAAATCGGAAAAATCAAAGCATTTTAAAATATTGAACGAATTGCACAACGAGGATGAAGTGACCGGAACGCACAGAAATGCGATTGCTTTTTACGCTTGTGAGGCCAACTGCAAAAATCTGGTGAGGCATTTGTTTAAAGATCACGACTTGGACAGTATGGCACACAAGAAAATGGGAACAATGATGCATGTTGCTCTAAATAATGACTGCCCTGAAATATGTCAGTTTCTTATTGCCGAATGTGGTGTTGAGCCAAACTTTTTGGATGAAAATGGTAAATCACCACTGTATAAGGCCTCCGAGCATGGTAATGCCGAACTGGTGAAGTTTCTGATCCACAAAGGCGTTGCAGTAGATCAAATGAATGTATACAATTCGACAACTCTGTGTGCTGATGGTTCCGACATTGTTGAGAAAGAAGACAAATGGGCACCACTTCACGTTGCAGCTTACAATGGTCATGTAAATGTTTGCAAATTATTGTTAGAAAGTGGTGCTTCTATAGACATTCAGCAATCAGAAGGATTGACTCCACTATGCTGCGCAGCTCAAAACGGTCATGATGATGTTGCCAAATTACTCATCGAAAGTGGTGCATCGGTGAACATCATAGGGGAAACAGGAATATCGCCACTTCACATGGCAGTTACAATAGGTAATGCTGACATTGTCAAGTTTTTGATCGATGCAGGTGCCTCAGTCGACATCCAGGATCCAAATGAATCAACACCAATCCACTATGCAGCTCAATTCGGCCACACTGACATTACCCAACTGTTGATCGACCATAATGCCAAGGTTAATGGTAAGGCCAAGTACGGAATTACGCCACTTCATATGGCTGTTCTAAATTATAAAACTGATATTGTATGGTTGTTGATCGGCAAAAATGCTTCTGTTAACGCACAGGTAGCAGATAAATGGACGTCACTTCATATGGCAGCTCGAAATGGTAATATCGATATCGTTAAGCTACTGATCGAATCTAATGCCAGAGTTGATATCAAGAACAACAGTGGAGACATACCTCTCCACGTAGCAACAGTAAACGGACACACTGATATAGCCTTAATGTTGATCAAATGGTCACCAGTATCGATCCATATTCAAAACAAACATGCTCGAACACCACTTCATATTGCAGCTGCTGGAGGGCATTTACAAGTCGCAGAATCGTTGATCAAGAGCGGTGCTTCATTAGATATCAAGGATAAAAATGAATGGACGCCACTTCGTGTAGCAGTTCTAAACAAACATGTTGATGTCGTCCAATTATTGATGAAATATACACTCAGTTCTTTTTGTACACGGTGGATATGTACCGTGTAAAAAAGTAGAAGAGCCCGTGCCTAGGGGCACGAACGGAAGCTTGAAGTAGGACCATGCTTGGCCATTACATTTGTTTTTGCGCTAAGTTCTTTTAATTGTTCAAAGTTAAACCACAGACAAACAGACATAACTCTTAGATGAACATTCTTCAAAAAATATCGTCAAGCGTATTTTGCATGCGCACTAGCACCATCTATCATCCACATTCCCAAGCAATGTTTGACAACCGGAGAACAATCGTGCATGCAATTTTTTCACTAGTTGCTGTCAGCTGTGTTGAATAAAAACAAAACAGATGGAAGTCAGTGATGTCGGTTCTATGAAATTTTCCGAAGATCTATAGAATTGATTGAATTCTGCAGAAATACGGATCCGTAGGAAAAATTCTCAGAAGCTAAGACTTTTTTTTAGGGATTTGTTTTGTTTACTTAGTTTGCTTTTTCTATTGCTGGAAACAAGTTTTTAAACGAGGTAATGCATCACCACCGCTTATCACCGAGGGGCGGCCAACTTGAGTATTTTCGATTCATCTAGCTGACTTGAAAATGTGCATTTCGTATATAGTTTTTAAGTTAAGTGAAAAAGAACTGGCATCACTGATAAGTTTGAAATGTGGTGGCTTGCTCAATGCTTCAGAGGCGCCACCATGACAAATGCCAGCACATTCCCAACTGAAACATTATTTGCGATGAATGTGATTGTGAGTGTTATGTCTGTTTGTCTGTGGTTAAACTATGATGGAGGGCCAGGTAGGTTAATCAATTGAAATGTTATATCAATGTACAATCATAATCGACAGAAATAAATGAAATTCTTCTAATACTACGTTTTGCAGTATCAGGTGCTTTATTTTCAATTGTGAGATTTCTAGGTTTTTTGATTACGCTACCATACAGTCACAAATTCTAGGACCCCCTCTCCACCTCCCCTCAACATTGGACGCCATATTTGAATCAGGCCCCCACAGCATCGTGCATACATTTTCGTTCCAGGTTTTATCAGAATTGTATGGGCTTGGTCCGCTGCTCTTCTTCCGTTCAGGTTAGTCTCCGAGTTCTGGAAGTGAATCATAATTTTACGGAAAAAAAAACATTCTGTCCATTTCTAAAGAAATTTAAGATCAACTCTTTCTCAAAAATATGTACACCCCTGAACATTTGCTCTTCTTACGCTTCTACTCGGAAAAGTGAGTACAGGTATACCTCGATATAACGTAACCAACAATCAATACGAAACTAACGATTTTAAATTGGCTCACCACTTTAGTAGCCTATTGGTCCCAAGCAAACGATTAACGTATCCCATTGTAGTCGAAATTCTACTACTACACAATGTTTGTTTTGATTCGCTATGGAAGTTTGACAGATAAAATGAGGGGTTAGTGGATTTTCCTATGTTTCGAGGGGTGAATCGATTAGCTTGGGACCGAAGAGAGTACCAGAGCTGAGCCAAAAAGTTGAGCACGTTATTTCGGGACCTTCTAGTCTTAGAGTTACCTCTATGACGTAACTGTCGCTTGTGACTTCCATCGTCGATTTCCCGAAATTTATAATTCAAACAAGCAAAGTAATACCACAAACGAAGTGACAGACGACTTACTGGCGAAGAAATCCATTAAAATAATGTGGTTCACTGCAATAGAATTTTCTTGGAAGCTTGTGCCATCATCCACCAGATGGGTTAGTTTTTTTGTTTTGATTTGAACAAAGTTGATTTTGTGTACAATGATTCTTTGACAGTGTGCAACGAGTGCGTATCATTTTGTCATTTTTTTATGCATTTCAGTTTTGAGTAGAGTGAAAGAGATAGGATAGAACCAAAATATTCTAGTACATTTGGTGAAAATGCTAGTTCAATCCAATAGTAGTGTTGCCATATGGTACAATGCAGTAGTAGTGGTGTTGCCATGTGGTACACTGAAAAATTGCAATAGAAGGTTAGTCACCAAAGTTTTCGAGCCGCTCCGTCTGTCACTTCGTTTGTGGTAATACCAGCAATCAATACGAAACTAACGATTTTAAATTGACTCACTACTTGACTAGCCTATTGGTCCCAAGCAAACGATTAACGTACCCCCATAGAAGTAACTCTAAGACTAGAAGGTTGTAAGCTGTGAGAAATTTTTTGTTTGTTGTAAGAACTGTCATTCTAAAGTAAAAATAAACAACAAAACGAAAACAAACCCTACGCTTGCACGGTAACAGTCAAGTAAGTCAAGTTTAACTTTGCAATTTAGAAAAACATGTATATCTCATTGGAATAGCTTCCTTTGATTTTTGAGGTTTAAATATTGTAAACAGATCTATCCCTATCATTATACAGTTATATAGATTTGCCTTTTAAGAAATCCAACAGCAAACATTTGTTTTGGCATGGTTTTCCGGGATGAATATCGCTCCCAATAAAAAAAAACATCTTACATTATTGTTCTTTATAAGTTATTGAAACAATGTTCAACGATGTTATTGTACACTCATTAAAATGATTAGTTGAACTAAATATTGCTAACAACAATGATACTGTATTGAATAATCTTTGTTTGTTATTGTTCCAATAAGGGATTCTGGAAAAGAATGTATTGAGATTGAAAAACAAAATGATTCTACTGCAATATTTACTTTGCTAAGATTCTAATTGTAAGCCTTCTACACGGCTCATTCAGATTCCAGCACTAGTACTCGAACCTGATGAATCAGTTCCATGAACTCATATAATGTTGTCGTTGTTTTATTGCACACATGAGCATTAAGAAAGATTTGAATACACGACACCACCGAAACGGAGCATACATTTGTCAGTGCTATTTTTCTTCACTTAGCAAAACGAGCATAACGTTGCACTACATTCCATGTCGGGAGAGCTGTTCTTACTTCATGCTAATTGAACGAGCTCAATCTTGAAGTCAGTCGTGGCCTCGGTCGTGGCCCAGTGGAATCGAGCGCAGACATCGAAACCATCACACCTCAACAGTTCTTGATCGAATCCCAAATCAGCTGCAATAAAAAAGACACAACTGTGAAAGCTCTAACTGCCTGATGTTTATTTTTCTAATTAATTTTTAGAATTCGATTAAATATATGTGTCAAAAAAAGAAGGAAATTTCATGTGATTTTCACATAAACTTTGCTTCGATTGATTTATGACACATATATTATATTGTGGTAAAAAGTAAAGCTTATGCTTATGGGTTTCAAATCCATGTCAGTTAATTATTATAATTTGACCGATTTTCATTTATCATATGACGATCATATAAAAGTTACCAAATTATCAGCATTGTTAATGTATCAGATATTACCTGACACATTTTCAATCATATCATTTTCAATGGATTATCTTATAGTGAAAATTTATTAGACTTCCACATAACAGGAATATGTAATCTTGGTTCAGTGTGCTTGGAGAACTCAATGAAAGTTTGACAGATAAAATGAGGGGTTCGTGGATTTTCCTATGTTTCGAGGGGTGAATCAATTAGCTTGGGACCGAAGATAGTACCAGAGCTGAGCCAAAAAGTTGAGCACGTTTTTTCGGGACCTACTAGTCTTAGAGTTACCTTTATGGTAATACCATAGAGGTAACTCTAAGACCACTGGGTCCCGAAGAAAATCATTATTATTTTTGGCTCACTCAGTACCAGAACAACGGTCCCAAGCAGTCCCAAGCTATTTCACTCACCCCTGCATGTTCTGCATGAATCCACACACCCCTGATGTTATCTGTCAAACTTTCATAGCGAATCAAAACAAACATAGTGTAGTAATAGAATTTCAACTAGGATAGGGTACGTTAATCGTTTGCTTGGGACCAATAGGCTACTAAAGTGGTGAGCCAATTTAAAATCGTTAGTTTCGTATTAATTGTTGGTAATACCACCATCGGACAGATGAAATAATTCTCCATTTATTGATAATATTAATTTGTATGGTTCAATTGTTATAAGCGAGATATTGACGATTAAAGTCAAAAGTGACAGTTAGTTTATATCGAGGTATACCTAACCGGTGAACACTCGTGTTTATTTCAATTACCGTAGGGGCGTAATTTCTGATTAGCCCCAGTCCCTTTCAAATTGTATCATTATTTATGTACGGTCCTTATATATGAAATGACGTTTCACATTCATCTAGTGATGGTTGATTTTCATTCGATTAATCGATTAATCGATTAACGAACCGAAAAGTAAAATATTTGAAATCGGTTATATCATGCCGATATAAGCATTAACTTCTCCAGAGAAACCGATCGTTTCAAACATGTGCTGCACTCTCATTGGTTGTAAAATGACAGCACAGCGAACAAAAAATAATACATTAGTTGTTAATCGAGTAATTAAAAAATAGGACATCTCTGATTTTGGTGTGATTGTTTTGATAAAAATGAGCGCAAAATTTAATCTCTACGGAGGGGGCAGCAAAACCACAAAATTACCTTGAATACGGGGGGTATCCATTGGATGAAAGGGACCGTTGAAAGAGGACACTAAAATAGAAAGTTTTTCTTCCGACAGTTTCATCATGGACCCAAAGGGTAAGGACCTCCTTCACTCGATTTTTTTTTTGGTTCACCTAGCTGTTTTTTTTTAGTGTACCTGGTGCACCCGGTACTAAAGCAAAAGACAGCAATTTGTACCAGAACAGGTGTCAAAAGTGACACAGACAGCACAACTGCCAGCAAAAGAGCCAGCAAAAAAAAAGCGCGGTACCCGCTGCCGTGGCAGTCAGATTGAGCGAAACTTGATTGCTGAAAACTTCTAGTTTGCGAACGCTGAGCTGACCCGAATTTTATTCTGGCCTCTACGTATTTAATTATGTATCAAACGTGTGCTGATAATAGGTTGACCATTACTGCGAAAATCAACGCAAGATTCGGTGGCGAAATCTGGTGTATTTTAACATCATCCAAATCACCCGATTCGCCAACCGACTAAATCTATTGCCACTTGTAATTAATTTTAGTTGGTGTATTAATCAGCAGATTAAATCGTTTTTCGTTTGATGATACACCGAGCAATCGGCCTATTTAATAGTTTTTCGTCGATGGATTTAGTCGGCCGACTTCGTCTTCTATTTAATCGGCAGA